GTAGGAACTAGGCTGAGGTAGGAAACTAAAGATGTACCTCAAAGTGCAACATTCAAAGTGCAAAACATTTAAACATTATTTATCTTTTCATTAAGTCACTTTTCAGTTTTTAGTGAATTGATTTTTTCCTGACTTGTTTGCCCAAAGAAAAAGAAACGTTCTAGAACTTGGGTCATAAAAGTGCAATATTCAGCCCAAATGAATAAGTAAAAAACAAAACAAAACAACAACAAAACAAACAAAACACAATAACTTAAAAAGAGTTAGTCGGAGTCCAAGGTCATGGACAGAACTACTACTTTCTGTCCAGTGAGTGAAAATACCTTAACTGAATGAAGATCTGTCACTGGTTACAGTGCACATAAATAACTATAATAATAATAACAATTAATGGGGAAAAAAGTCCAAAAGTTTGCAGGGCAAAAGGCAGTGTTACTTTCTGTCCAGCCTGAAAACCCCTTGAATGAAGATCCTCTGTCACTGGTCACTGTGGTCTCTCCCTGGTGGATCCCTGCTGTTTCTTGCTTCCTGTAAAAAACAAGATATGAACTGTTATTTTTATGCAGCTCACTTCTGCACACCAATATACTCATCTCCATTGGCAATACATTGTACTTCTATAACCCAATAAACAGGTCACAACAATATTTAATATACCTTCAAATCTTTTTGTTGGCATTCAAAATCAGCTGCTTCTCAAAGTTGGCATCTCCCAGCCGGTTTCTCCTGGGCCTGAATGAGATGAAACAAGAAATTTTAACATCATTATTATTGTGGCAAAAATAGTAACAGTAATCTGTATTAAAGGAATTGTGTACTGAGGCAAACACTGAAATAATTTGACCAAACTATTAGCTGCATAAGCATTAGAATAATATCACCAAGACAGAACTATGATTGAGGCTGGGTATTTACTGTACTTATTACCAAAGCATATTAATTATGGAATATAATCACAGTTCATCCCTACCTGAATATTAGACCACCGATGCTGAAGAGCCTCTCTACTGGAGCGCTTGAGGGCAGTGCAGTGTTGTGTTTTATGAACAGCCTTTTGAGCTTTGTAAACTGCATGTATTCATCAAACCCATCTGTGGTTGGGGCTTCCAAATAGATGTCCACTTCAGTTTTTTGAGAAATCTGAGGTTTTCTGTTAAATCTGAAGAATGAAGCTGCAGGATCTTTCTTGTCACTTTCACCGCTGGACTGGGCTTGACCTGAGTCTCTTGCAGCTGAGTCATCAGAGTTGAGGGTTTGAAATTCTCTTTTCAGCATCAATCTGTACTGCATACGTTTCTCCTCATCTTGGACCCAGTCTAGCTTGAATCTTGGTACCAGCATAGCGGAGAGTATGTGCTCCCTCTTATCCAGAAGACCTGCCAGCCTTGCGCTCAGTGACTGCAAGATGCTCTCTATGAGGGGACGGCATGTAATGAGACCCTCTGCAGCAGTGGGCTTCATGCTCTCATCCAACAGGTCATTCATATGACATTGCAGCTGCACAATGGTTGGAGCCAGGTAGCCAAGAAAGATGTTCTTCTCTGCTTGGAGGATGTTTAGTGCAAGTGCTAAAGGCCTCATCACATCCACAAACTTGTGTATGAAGTTGACTTCATGTGGAGAAAATCGACGAAAGCCAAACTCATCACTCACAGTGTGCAGAATCAGCTCGTCGTGTAGGGGAGTGGCATCATTTGCAGGGGTGACCTCAGCCGCATTCATTTCTGCCTTGGTAGTTAGGGCTGCTATGCGAGACAGTCGCTCCATGGCAAGAAATATAGAGTTCCATCTTGTGTCATTTGGCACAACAAAGCCAATCCCAAGCTTTTCTTCCACAGTATCAGAAGCCTTTGGACTTCGCTTAACCCGGTTCCACAGAGCAGATGCTTTTGCAAAAACAGACCTCCATCTAGTTTTATAATGTGGCACAGTTACCTTTTCCGTATCTTTGGCCACTAGATTCAAGGTGTGAGCCATGCACCTTCTATGAGGGGGGAGAGAGGGATGATCCAGACGTGAGAGAGACTCAGGCTCCATCTGGTCATCTTCATCTGAGTCAGCAAAGGCTGACTCTGGTTCATTGTCATCTTCACTTTTAGTTTCATCAAAGTGGACCACTGTCTCTGGCTCTTCAGTATCAATAGCAACATCCATCCCAAAACAGTTGAACGCCTTGACAAAATTTGCAGCGTTGTCTGTTACTGTACACACAACCTTGTTGTGGATTTTGAATTCTTTGTTGACATCTGACAATAATTTTGCCAACACATCGTGTGTATGTGCTCCTTTAATCTGCCGGCATGCCAGTACTGCAGAGTGTCTCTTAGAAACATCAGTCTTGTTTAGCCAGTGGATAGTGATGCCCATAAATGCTTTGTTCACAGCTGACCAGCAATCTGCTGTTGTGCACACAGCATCGACCTCAGAAAGTTCAGTCTTAAGTTCACATATGTTTTCTTCAAATTTCTTGTTTAGCAGTGTCTGTATTTTTTTTCTTGATGGCACCTTTTTTGAT